CTCCACTTAGGCAGAAAAAAAGGAAATGCAAAGAGAGAGTACGAGTGAAAAAGGTCTTGGAGTCCTCATGGACAGGAAGGTGAACATGAGCCAAAAATGTGATGTGGCAGCTAAAAAAGCCAATGGGATTTTGGCCTGCATCAATAGGGGTCTAGTGCCTAGATCCAAGGAAGTCATGCCACCCTTCTATTCTGCCTTGGTCAGACCACACTGTGTTCAATTCTGGGCACCACAATTGAAGGGAGATGTTGACAAGCTGGACTGTGAGGCAGCTGTCTGAGTGTCAGCTGCATTAAGATCACTTCTGACCACAAGGTTGAAGCCAGCCCAGGTCGGAGTGAGCTCCCGACCAATTGTGTAGCTTGTTGTCGACCTTTGCAACCTGAAAGACAGTTGCATCTGTCAAGTAGGAAAATTAGGTACCACCTATGTGTGGGGAGGCTAATTTAACAAAATTTATGAGGCCATAAAAAAAGGCGGAATGGAGAGCAGGGCCTCCTCCGACGATCTCAAGTTCCTGGTGTGTTCGTAGGAAGAGATGCATTCAGATAGATAAGCTGGGTCGGAACTGTTTAGGGCTTTATAAGCTAAAAACCAGCACTTTGAATTGTGCAAACTGGCAGCAAGTGGAGCTGACACAACAGCGGAGTTGTGTGCTCCCTTAGCAACCTGTCTGCCTCACGCTGGGCCATTTGGAGCTTCCGAACCGTTTTCAAAGGCAACCCTACGTTTTCAAAGGCAACCATCCTTTCTAATATTACCTCTCAAACCAAGCATAAACAGCTGCATAACAGTCTATGTCTTTCAGTCTATGTCTTTCCCCCTAAAATAGGTCTCCAACTGTGGAAGTCCAAAGATTATTGGAATGCAACTCCCATCATCCCTGAGCATAACAGCCAATGGTGAGGAGTCAAGGGACGTGCAGCCTAACCTATTTGGAAAGCCACAATTTCACACCTCTGCCTCAATCCGAGGTGCTATACATGTGGTTCATAACTTCCTCCGCAGTCTTTATGTTATTTACATGGGAGTCTAGGCTGAGCTGATAACATCGCAAGCAGCTTGCAATTCTCATAACGTCAGCAAAGACACATAGACATGAACCCTAGAGCAAGCACTGCCTTCGTGAAAAGGAGAAACTGACGAGGAAACAAATGCTGAAGATGCTTTTGCAGCAGCATGGATGGGAAAAGTGGAGTAAACAGGTTGGAGTCATGAGGGCTCAGGAAAAGAGAGTTGTAAGCAAGATCAGCCCAACATCCTCAGGCAGAGACCTGTAGCCCCATTCAGACTCCTTACTGATGCATTTCCTTGAACTCCATTAGCATTGCTCGCTCTGTGTGCATATGTGACAATCAATACTCGGAGGTGGTTCTGACAGTTCTTTCTTCTGAAATATAGCCTACAGCACTTGGTCTCGAATAAGTATTAACCAGGGCTGAACCTTCTTAGTTTTCAGAATCAGTTGGAATCTGGTGCATTTAGGGAAGCATTTCTCAACTTGGGGGTCAGGACCCCTGGGCGGGTCGTGATGGGGTTGCCAAAGACCATCAGAAAACACATATTTCTGATGGTTGTAGGGACCCCTTTGGCAGAGAAGGCTGAAGATATATTGTATATACTCGAGTATAAGCCTAGTTTTTCAGGCCTTTTTTTTAGGCTGAAAAAATCTCCCCCGGCTTATACTCGAGTCAACGTTATTTATTATTTTACTTCGTTGTTGTTGTTAATATTATTACATTTATTATTTTATTATTGTTGTTATTATTACATTTATTATTTTACTCTATTATTATTATTATTATTTTACTCTATTTATTATTATTGGAGGACATGTAAGCATATTTACATTGAAGAAGGTTAGAATACTGGTTTAATCAGAGTTGGACAGTCTTATCTTGAATTATAGTTTTATGTAAATATTCAAAAACATTTAACCTACTTATGCCTAAATTAATATAATTTTATTGGTATCTATTTTTATTTTGAAATTTACCAGTAGCTGCTGCATTTTTAATAATTATAATATCATATTAATATCATATTATTAGTAGTATTATATTGCATTACATTATAATATTATAAATATTATATGTATGTACAATATATTATATTATATTATATTATATTATATTATATTATATTATATTATATTATATTATTAGCATAGCACAGGAGACAAGGTGGAATTGTCCTCTAGCCCCCCTTCACTCTGGCGCAGAGTGGCCTCTCTCACTGCCTGTTTTTCTCTTCCTTTTTGGAAACTGATGGTGAATCCTCCCACTAAAAGCCCTCTTCTGCTGTGATTGACCAGCCTCTCAGCCAAGGGGAGGGCTGTTTTTGAGACTCCAAGTGAGGAGGGGAGAGCAGGCGTGCTCAGCGCATGGCAGCGTGATGCTTGTGCGGGCGAGGGAGAGCATGTGAACTTGGAGGGAGGCTTGCACCAGGGAGTACCTTCAAGGCATGGGGATTCTGTGTGGGAAATTTGATCCAATGCCATCATTGGTGGGGTTCAGAATTCTCTTTGTAGAACTATTAATCCCAGCAATGACAACTACCAAATGTCACGATCTATTTCCCTCAAACTCCACCGGGGATCACATTTGGGCATCTTGAGTATTCATGCCAAGTTTGGTTCAGATCCATCGCTGTTTGAGTCCACAGTGCTCTCTGGATGGAGGTGAACTACAACTCCAAAACTCAAGGTCAATGCCCACCAAACCCTTCCAGCATTTTCTGTGGTCATGGGAGTTCGGTGTGCCAAGATTAGTTGAATTCCATTGTTGGTGGAGTCCTGAATGCTCTTTGATTCGAGATGAACTATAAATCCCACCAATTACAACTCCCAAATGTCAAGATATAATTCCCTCAAACTCCACCGGTGATAACATTTGGGCATCTTGAGTATTCATGCCAAGTTTAGTCCAGATCCATCATTGTTTGAGTCCTCAGTGCTCTCTGGATGGAGGTGAACTACAACTCCAAAACTCAAGGTCAATGCCCACCAAACCCTTCCAGCATTTTCTGTTGGTTGTAGGAGTTCTTTGGTTTGATTTCATCATTGGTGGGATTCAGAATGCTGTTTGATTGTAAGTGAACTTATAAATCCCAGCAACTACAACTCCCAAATGTCAAGGTCTATTTTCCCCAAACTCTACCAGTCACATTTGGGCATATTGAATATTCGTGCTAAGTTTGGTCCAGATCTTTCATTGTTTGAATTCACAGCGCTCTCTGGATGTAGGTGAACTACAATTCCAAAGCTCAAGGCCAATGCCCACCAAAACCTTCCAGCATTTTCTGTTGGTTGTGGGAGTTCTGTGTGTCAATTTGGTTCGATAATTACAATAACAATAATAATAACAACACTTTATTTGTATTCCGCCCTTCTCACCCCGAAGGGGACTCAGGGAGGATCACAGTATATATACACGGCAAACATTCAATGCCACTTTGTATAGACAATACACAGACAGACAGAACAGAAGGAGGTGCCATGGAAGGTTGGGCTGGAGTACAGGGGGTGCTGTTGCTCTATCCTCTATGACAAAGAGCCATCAGGACTTCCTCCTTCCTTTTGGTCACCCAGCATTTTCTGATCTTTTTTTTCTTTATGGCATCATAAAACACCTCCCTCGCTTTTAGCAGTACCTAATTTCTCTAATCATAGCTAAATCGGTTTTTGAATGGCTTAGGTAAACAATGGGCTAGGCGGACAGTTGGTAGCTCATACTAACCTGGGGCTTCAAACTGGCAACACATTGGTTGATAAATCTTATAATTGCTGATGATTTACCAACTGTGCTAAACCTCCTCATTGGTGGGGTTCAAATGCTCTTTGATTGTTGGTGAACTACAAATCCCAGCAACTACAACTCCCAAATGACAAAATCATTTTTTTGAGTGAAGATCCTAGATGGTTCATTTATATAAAATCACTAGCTGTCTCTGCCACGCATTGCTGTGGCCCACTCTGGTGGTCATGGGGGTTCTGTGTGGGAGGTTTGGCCCAATTCTATCATTGGTGGAGTTCAGAATGCTCTGTGATTGTAGGTGAACTAGAAATCCCAGCAACTACAACTCCCAAATGTCAAGATTCTATTATCCACAAACTCCACCAGTGTTCATATTTGGACATATTGAGCATTCTTGTAGAGTTTGGTCCAGATCCATCACTGTTTGAGTCCACAGTGCTCTCTGGATGTAGGTGAACTACAACTCCAAAACCAAAGGACACTGCCCACCAAACCCTTCCAGTGTTTTCTGTTGGTCATGGGAGTTCCGTGTGCCAAGTTTGGTTCAATTCCATCGTTGGTTGGGTTCAGAATGCTCTTTGATTGTAGGTGAACTATAAATCCCAGCAACTACAACTCCCAAAGGACAAAATCAATGTTGGGTTGTTAGGTGTCTTGTGTCCAAATTTGGTGCCAATTCGTCCAGTGGTTTTTGTGTTCTGTTAATCCCACAAACGATCATTACATTTTTATTTATATAGATATTTATAATATTATAATGTTAATACAATATAATACTAACAATATATTATAATTATATATATATTATATTACATGTAATATTACTAATAATATTACAACATAATGGTATAGCACAACATAGTAATATATAATACTGATATTGTACTATGCTAATAATATAATTTACTGCATGTATGTATGTATGTATGTATGTATGTGTGTGTGTGTCTATCTATCTATCTATCTATCTATCTATCTATCTATCTATCTATCTATCTATCTATCTTGTAAGCCGCTCTGAGTCCCCCTTTGGGGTGAGAAGGGTGGCTTATAAATGTTGTGAATATCAATAAATAAATAAATAAAGTACACTATCATCCCAAGGTATTATTGAAAAATAAGATGAGGTTTCAAAGTGTTTGCAGTGTCTGTGGAAGAGAGCCCAAGAGTGCAGGAAAAAAGGACCACCAGCAGGGATTCTGCCAGAAACCCTTTCAAAAGCAGAGTAAAGAACAGCAGACTTACAGATCTTGTGCTTGCCTTTGATGGGAAACTTCACAATCATCTCCTGGGGATTATTGCAGATAAACACAAACGGAGAAGCGGACTCCTGGCTCAGCTGTGGATACTAAAAGGATGGGGGGGGAAACAGAACAGAAAGCAACACCATCATAAACATGTCAGCAAACACTGCAATGGATTCAAGATCTGAAAACTGTTATCTCTACAAGTTAGGCATATCAACAGAGATAGGTCTGGAATAGCCACACAGCCATTTAGAATCAGTATAAAGGTAGCAGGCCATCTTTCCAAAGGGATCTTGGGATCTTAGGTTTAGAGGATGCTTCCAGGTTTAAGTCCTGGTTTGAGCCCCCGGTGGCGCAGTGGGTTAAAGCACTGAGCTGCTGAGCTTGTTGATCGAAAGGTCGCAGGTTCGATTCCGGGGAGCGGCGTGAGCTTCCGCTGTCAGCCCTAGCTTCTGCCAACCTAGCAGTTCGAAAACATGCAAATGTGAGTAGATCAATAAGTACCGCTCCGGCGGGAAGGTAATGGCGCTCCATGCAGTCATGCCGGCCACATGACCTTGGAGGTGTCTAAGGGCAATGCTGGCTCTTTGGCTTCGAAATGGAGATGAGCACAACCCCCCAGAGTTGAACATGACTAGACTTAATGTCAGGAGAACTACAACGACATCTTTTTGAGTCCCAGTTCCCTTGATTCTTATCCAGATGATTTCAAGCTGGTTTCCCAGCTGAAATTGCTTCCATTTTACCACTATTAATAGTACAGGAGCCCATTCCAGTTTTCACTCTAGCAACACCCTTCAAGAGGAAGCAGTTACAGTAAGATGACCCACCAGCCTCAGTGTGCATTATTCTTACCTGCCCTCTTTTTGCTGGACATTACCACCAACACCACAGCTGCAAGTAAGAGGATAATAAACAGCAGCACTGTGCAATATATCAAAATGTTGACATGTGTTTCCCCAGATGCCCTGAGGAAAAAAAAACATGCAAAATCAGTCAGAATGCTTATTTGCATGTCTCTACTATTTTAGGAAATAATATAAGAGTTCTGCTTCTTTACATATTCCTTTAAATAACAATTTCTGTAATAAATATATGGTTCTTGCATAACAAGCACATAACATCCATGCATCCATGTGGCTATGGTCACATTATTGTGCCATGATTTAGCAGCATACTGACCCTGGGTTATAAATTATAAATGTAATTTCCTAATTGGTTCTATCATTAAAAATGGAAAAAAGTTTATGAACTGCGAACGCTTTGTTTTTGCAGGACATTCTGCAGCACATTTTACTATAGTTTTTCAATCACTATCTGATATAGTCTCGACCAATTCAACATAGTTTGTGGCGGTCACAAAAATGAAGTTTCTGGAATATGACAACTACTTTCAAAGTAAATACCACATAATTAAACAGGAAATAACACGTTGGAACCAGGAACAGAATATTTTTCAATTTTTGCTACATAATGTAATTAGTAGCATTATGCAGCTACTCACCATTTGGCAACATTTTATTGTCTTTTTAAAAGAAGAGGAAATAAAACATTGGGTTTTACATGTTAATAAGCGATAATCACTAATACAAACATTTAAGATTCGGAAGAAAAATAAAAATAGAGTTAGCGACAAGAAAAGCAGGTTCAAAGGGATTGTGAAAAGTTAATCTACCAAAGTAAGAAGATGTAAGACCAAAAAAAAAGAGAGATATTTTGATTATGAAGAAAGCAGCAGAGTTGGAGCACGAAGTGTTAGATAGGGCTTTCATTTCCATTGCTGGAAACTTTGGTGTTCTACCACTTTCGTTTTTAAAGAAGGAACCCTAAGCAGGCAGCTACTGTAATGGTCATATTACATAGAGTTGTAAAGGATTATATGTTTTATAAACACATGCTCAGGGCAAACCCAAAAATCTTCAGGCAGGGAGAATCCTTTATTTGGTCATCCTGACCGCTGCCTCCAGAATGCAACAGCATTTACTTTTAAACATGGGGCCGAGGAAACAATTCCTTAGAGGCACTGAGGATTGATTAAGCTACCACCAAAATTAGAAAGGATTATTTGAGGTTTAACTGGATTTATGCTGAAGTAAACTGGAGTAGGCTGAATTAGAATTCAGAGCACAGAGCACAGAGGGTATAAACACCAAAGTCTTTCAAGTAGTGGGTTGTTGTAGGTTTTTTCGGGCTATATGGCCATGGTCTAGACGCATTCTCTCCTGACGTTTCGCCTGCATATGGGGAGCCCTCTCAGCCCATAGCTAATTTCTACATGGAACACTTTGAAAAACAAGCCTTGGAGACAGCAACAAAAAAGCCCCCGATGTGGTTCGGATATGTGGATGACACTTTCACCATTTGGAGCCATGGAGAAGAAGAACTCAACAGGTTCCTGGACCATCTTAACAGCATCCACCCAAACATCCAGTTCACCATGGAAAAAGAAAATGAAGGAAGACTGCCTTTTCTAGATGTCCTAGTCATCCGCAAACCAGATCAACAATTGGGTCACACCGTTTACAGAAAACCCACACACAGAGATAGATATCCACATAATAACTCCAACCATCACCCAAGTAAAAAAAGAAGCACCATTAAAGCCTTGGCAGACTGTGCAAAAAGAATCTGCTAACCCCACCTCCTTCAAGATGAACTGAAGCACCTCAACTGGGCTCTACAGGCCAATGGATACTCCACCTCAGATATCAGAAGAGCTGCAAGACCAAGAACAAGCCACGAGAATAAAGATGAAGATCCACCCAGAGGAAAAGTGTTCTTGCCATACATCAAGGGAACCACTGACCGCATAGGGAAACTGATGAGGAAACACAACATACAAACTATCTACAGACCCACCAAGAAAATCCAACAAATGCTACGTTCAGCAAAGGACAAGAGGGATCCTCTCACTTCTGCAGGAGTCTACCGTGTACCATGCAGCTGTGGACAAGTCTACATAGGGACCACCAAATGCAGCGTCCAAACACGAATCAAAGAACATGAAAGGCACTGCAGACTACTTCAACCAGAGAAATCAGCCATAGCAGAACACCTCATGAACCAACCTAGACACAGGATTTTATTTGAGAACACAGAAATGCTGGACCACTCTCACAACCACCATGTCAGACTACACAGAGAAGCCAT